CCTCGCGGGCGCGGAAAAAGGAGGTGTGACACCTGCTTGGATGAGGGTTTCTCAACCTTGAAATCATCCGTAATAGAACAACCCCCGGGAATAAACACTTTCAAAGGGGGCTAGAGAGCCGGTTCGGTGGCTACCGATTTAGTGGCAGCCACATCGAGAGCAGTTGCCTCGATGATAACTATCTTGGGATCGACCGCCTTAGTACCAGCGGCTGGTTGGGAAGATGAAAAGACAGCCTGTTGGGGAACTGAATTTGAAGTTTTAGCCATTGTTGGCTCGTAAAATTTGAAGGTTTGAAGAAGAAGTATAGAGATTTGGAAGAACAAGTTTGAAGGTTGAACAACGGGATATGAAGAATTTAAGAAGATCTGGGCAAGAATCTAAGAACAATTATGAAGATTTAAAGATCAAAAGATGAAGGTTTGAAAGAAGTTGATGATAGCTGGGAAACTCAGAAGTAAAGGCTTGGTCGAAAAGTAGAAAAATAACAAAAGGTAGAAGCTTTTATAGGAAAGTAGGCAACGCTTTGCATTCGAAGGCAACCAGCTGATGATTGACACGTGTTCGAAGCCAGAACGATGTAACTGATGGGATGTTTCGGCTCCTTCAGCGTAACGTACGGAGGAAGGAACCGGAGAACATCTATCATTTCCCATCGGTTCGCAAACCTACTCTTTGAAAAATGAGGGGACTATATATACACGGGTAAAACCGGGGCTAATGAATACCCCAATTTCCAGGTGAGGCAAACGAAGTGAGGACATGACCGCAAGGAATCAGAATCGAAGCTAGGAGCCTCTCGCATCATTGTCCGACCAATACACTTGCCCTCGAAGCTATCGAGACCACGCCCCCTAGGTCCGGTTCGAGCTCCAAGACCTTGAAGAGCATTACCAAACTACCATGCACGATTAACAAAAGGTCATGATATCCGTTTCCAATCGGATATCACGGCGTGAATCTCGGCCCGTATTAATGGTGAATTAGTAATTAGCGAAAAGGAAGATTTTTACCTTTTTTAGAATTGTTCTTAGGGTGAATCTCCCCTACTATATAAAGGGGAAGCTAATTATTCATTAGAGACATTGTAACACGCATATCAAGGCAATATACATTTGTTTCCTCTCCTTCTAAAGATTATTCTGAGTTCTTAGTTTTGTTCATAGCCCTTCCTAAGTGTTTGGTTCCAAATTGAATGCAGGTTAACTACTTGGATCATAACCGAGCCCGACCTCAGTCTTATAACTGGTTTGACCGTTTATTACATCTTTGATTTGTTCATTTAATGCTATTAATCACTTTTATTGAATTAATCCACATATCCTTAGGCCACAATAGCAAAAACATCAACTGTGTGAAAAAAAACAGCAAGAATTTTAAGTGTGGATTCATTATGCGCAACATATAGCCCTAGAGAAAATCGGTTGATACAACTTTTAGAGAGTTACCAATTTGTGCAGCATTCCAACACAAAACAAACAGATGGGAAGTATAGATGACTCAACAAAACAAGTTTGTAATTGATAAGTTACGCGATTATGGTTTTGATGATTTGTCAAACTTTGTTGAGGAACTAGAGAGGAACATGATGCATTTAGTTCCTTTACACCTGTTATGATATGATTTGTTGACTAGCCAAACGTCCTCGAGAAATCAGATAAGGAAACAAATACGGGAACAAATAGGATCAGTGCCTCAAATGTCGTACAGTCAACTCTTCAGCTGTAAAAGTTATTTCACTGTACCGACTAGCAATAGTATAGTGGCACAGTCGTTGCTGCTAGAGGCCAAACCAAAAGATGTAATGTCCCTATGGTTTCACACATGCTCTCTCATATATAAACAACATTATACAAGGGTTGACCTGACATTTGATAATCTAAAAACCTATCATCTTAAGTGCCAGCCACCAATGTTTCCTCCAGGTGCACTCAAGAACAACGCTGCTACAAACCAAGTACCATATCCCAACAATGAAGATGTCTTGAGTCCTTATGTTTATTGAGTCTTTGTCTTTTGTTCTTTACTTGTAAACCTACACGGCTTTCTAGAAGTATTTTGTAGGACATCATTTAACCTTATTGTTTTGGTTGTTTAACTAGAGTTAGTCAAGAGTGTTGCTTTGTAATAGAGTTATTGCAAATGACTTACAATAGAGTTACTTGTAAGGGGTGAGAGATTAATAGTTTAATTCCTAGATTGCAATAAGTTGTAATATGAAGTTTGCTCAGTTTAGTGGAGTTGAAATAACTGGGGTAGTTCGTGGTTTTTAATCCCTTGAGCAAGGAATTTTTCACGTAAATATCATGTGTTCTTTACTTATTGCTTGTTTACTGTGGGAACTGATATAGAATTTAGTTCTCTATACTGTTTGGTGGACCCTTAGTTTTTATTAATTAGTATGAGAATAGGTTCTTTCTAAAAGGTTAACACATAGAAAAGATCTTTATCATGGCTGCTCCACCAAACCTCGAGGAAGGATAATCGACCACGAGACCTCCAAGATTAAACGACAAGTACTATGGATGGTAGAAAACGAGAATGCATGACTTCATCATGGCCGAGGACTCAGAGCTATGGGATATGATTTGTGATGGTCCTTTATTCCCATGAAAGTTATTAGAGAGGGAACAAGGACTGTCCCAAAGACGAGAAAGGAATATAACGATGCTGATAGAAAGGCTGTTGAAAAGAACTTCAAGGAAAAGAAGATTCGTGTTTGTGGTATTGGACCAGATGAATATAATTGTGTCTTAACGTATGAGTGTGCAAAAGAGATCTGGAAAGCTCTCAAAACTGCCCATGACGGAACTACTCAGGTTAAGCAGTCAAAAATAGATATGCTTACCACTGAGTATGAGTTTTTCAAAATGAAGGAGGATGAGTCAATTCAAGATATACACACACGCTTCACCTCCATTATTAATGAGCTACATTCTCTTAGAGAAGTCATCCCAACAAACAAGCTGGTCCGGAAGATACTCAGAGTTCTACTAGGTTCATGTGAATGGGGTAACAAATAACTACATTTACAACAGTATCGACAAATTGTTATGTGGCACATTGCCAAAAATACTTGCCAAATAATTGTTGCTATAATATAAGGATGCTCAAGTTTAAGGTGTTCAATGTCTCATCATAAGTAAGTAAAAGGACCAAGTCATTCACTTTTTTTTTTGGATTAAAGGATTGCTTATATCTAGTAACTCATGGGAGCCAAGTAATATATCTTGATTGTACTCAAGTTTATTATCGTGTCACAAAAAATGTATAAGAGACAACAATAACAATAACAATAACCTAGTAGAATCTCATTAGTAGGGTTTGAGGAGGGTAGAGTGTTCGTAGGCCATACCCCTATCCTCGAGGGATAGAAAGGCTGTTTCCGGCAGACCCTCGACTCAGAGATAATAGATTCGTAACAAAAACAAAAATCAGAAAAGCAGTATCGGCTTCGTAAAAAACAGCAAATAAATGGAAAAGCAAAAAAAATAATAGTGTGAAACACAACAAAAACCGCTAACAGTCCTAGACAAAACACTATTAGACTAGCCGGCACAACGAGGAAAAATGCTCGGCTACCTCTAACATACAATCCTAATGCTCGATCTCCACACACTACTATCAAGGGCCATGTCCTCAAAAATCTGAAGTCGCGCCATGTCCTACCTGATCACCTCGCTCCAATTCTTATTATGCCGCCCTCTGCCTGTTCTCATACCTGCCAAGCATCTAGGCTCCTCATTCCGAATCTTATCCATCCTAGTGTTCCTGCACATCCATCTCAACATCCTCATTTTTGCTACTTTCATCTTCTGGATATGTGAAATCTTGACTGGCCAACACTCAACCCCATATAACATGACCGGTCTAACCACCCCTCTATAGAACTTACCTTTAAGTTTCGGTGGTACATTCTAGTTACACAGGACTCCAGACGCTAACCTCCATTTCATCTATCCCACTTCGATACGGTGCGTGACATCCCCATCAATCTCCCCATCTCCCTGGATAATTGACCCTAGGTACTTGAAACTCTTTCTCTTAGGGATGACTTGTGAGTCAAGCCTCACATACCCGGTGTATTTTTATAGGTGAAGTTTGAGGAGGGTAGTGTGTACACAGACCTTCCCCCTACCTTGTGGAGGTAGAGAAACTACTTTCATTAGACCTTCGCCTCAAGAAATAGCATTTCAAAGTAGGTTCAAAAAAGAAAAACAATAGTGTCGCCAATCATAAATGCAATCCTTACAAACTTTAATTTTTATTTTCGGAGAATTTTTAACTTCATGACACGAGTGACTTATAGGGGTTTTCTTCCAAGTATTAAGCTTGAGACAAGTAATATGCTTACAAGTTAGAGTCTCCACTCAATCCAGACAGGTTCTGGCAACTGTTTGTCAAACAGGATCTCGAAAGGCAAGCCACGGAAGTATTGCTCTGTAGGGAGTAAGCACCTACTTCTCTGGATATATGATGAAAATGGGGGCTTCAACTGTGATTAACTCTAATATTATTATTGAAACTCGGAATAAGAGTTGAATACAATTTACTTCTTGATTTATAGAAGTCTACTATGAGGTACTTTATTGAAAGTCAAAATGGAATCTTTTTGCTTCGTCTATGAAAATTTACCACGAGTTTTTCTATATTAACCCAAAAAGGGATACCTTTCTTGTGTTATGGCCTATGGGGCTCTTTTTCTTAGACTAAGCGCATGATTATTGATTACCATAATATTGAATGTCACAACTCACAAGGGAATCTTCTTTTCGTTATTTGCAAAGGCTTAAAATAGCAAATTTTACGAAGGTCAGAAGGGAATCTCCATCAACGGAAGAGGAAAAGGACTTTTTTTCAGAAGATATTAAAAATTTAAAATGTCCAAAATATCCCCATAGTCTAAGCCGACTTGGTACAAGTTCGTAAAAGGAGCCAAGGACAAACTCGTCATCAAAGTTTTCAGCATCTCGTCAGTTATAAGCTGCCCTCGAAACCCTATCACTCCATGCTCTCGCATACGATTTTTGTTTTTCCTATTTTTGTCCTAACATTTTTTCTGCAGACGCTTCCGAAACCCTAGCCCTAATTTCCCCGACCAAGATCCAACTTTTCTCTGAGATTCTGTAAGGTAAAAGCAACTTTCCTCTCAAATCTCTGATTTTTGTGCGCATTTATCCATATTTTATTTAATAGTTTACTTCGATTTTAAATTACTGATATTTTGTGATTGGATCTGGCGTATTTTGTAGTAATAGTTCATAGCAAAAGAATGGGAGAGAACAAGGAGAACGATGCATATGAAGAGGAGCTGCTCGACTATGAAGAAGATGATGAAAAACTCCCTGATTCCGTCACCGGAAAAGTCAACGGCGATTCCGCCAAAAAGTGAGATCTTCACGCCGATATTAAATATTTCTGCTTTTTCTAACTTGTTTACAGTGGAAACTATTTTCTTTAATTTTAGGCTTACGTCAATGTTTTTTATGGTTTGTTGTATTTCTTAGTAGTATTTTGTAAAATAGTTATGAAGCCTATGTTCATGCGTTATGGTTTGGCCCTACCTAGTTAGTTGATTGAAATTTATGCTTTTATGCTTTTGTTTTCCGTATTTTATGTTGGGTAAGCTACATGCTTGAGAATTTTTTGCTGCCTAAAAATTACATTTTTTTTGGGATTCTGTTTTTTTTCCTGCTTGAAATAAGCCTATATCTCTAATATTTTTATTTGTCTGTATTATTGATATGTGTATAGTTAAGAATCAGAGGTTTTTATGACCTTTTCATGTGTTTTGTGTCTGTTTATTGTAATGGAATCGAACTTGCCTAAATAGAGTGGAATAGATATTGAGGAATAATATAGCCAAACTTAGCTAGTTTGTGATTGAGCCTCAGTAGAGGCAGTTCATTTTTTATATTTTAGAGGTTAAATATTAGTATTGAAAAGAAGCAGGTCTGAGTAGATTGAAATATCAAGGATTCAGATAGTTAATTCTGACTAGTTTGGGTGGAGGCTTAAAGTGATTGATGTACATTCTTTATCTATGTTCTTGTTGACAATTTTTTTTTTGGGTGTTTGCTCTATGAATATTTCGATGGTGCTGGGATAGTCCAATGTCTATCTGACACTTTTCAAACTTGTCAATTTTTTTGTTGTATTTTCTCAATCAGTACTTAGGGGGTGTTTAATTCTCTGACCCCCTTTGATCTTCTTTGTCAAGCATTAACTTTTGTGTACTTTGAATCAAGTATTAATATTATGGTCTTTTTTGGTGGATGCAGGGGTTATGTTGGTATTCACAGTTCGGGTTTCAGAGATTTTCTTCTAAAGCCAGAGCTATTGCGGGCTATTGTGGACTCTGGGTTTGAGCATCCTTCCGAAGGCAAGTTATCTTGTACCTGGACATGTTTTCCTTCCTAACTAAAATTGTCGATTTCAGTACTTTCCTGTAAAAAATTGATAATAAAATCTTTGAACTTATTTGCGGTGGCCTGTTCTAAGCATTCTCTTCCAGCAGTCTTACCTTCTTTTTTTGATAAGGTGAAGATTTTATTAAAAACATAATCAAGCTGATACTGTGAAAATACAGAGATAGTGCTGGCTTAAAAGCATTAAAATCCTAAGCGGTCTAGCATGTCCAGCATATTATGAAAATCCATAACAACATTTCCATCTTTCCAATAGTACAAATAATATAGACAACTATATTTCACACATTGCAGCTGCTCCTTCTTGCTTTCAAAACACCGATTATTTCTTTCTTTCCATATCGTCCAAGCTATACTAAGAGGAATATCTCTCCATATTTTCTTTTAGGATGCTTCTGGACGTGCAGTTTCCCAGCACTCTAATATATTCCTGAACTTCTTAGGACTTGCCCAAAGGATGCCAAAGTTAGCCATGAACATGGACCACATCTGCCAAGTAAATTCACAATGCACAAAAATATGGTCCACAGATTCACAAGCTTTCTCACACAAGTGGCATTTGCTGCAATTATCCAACCCTTTCTCATCAAAATTTCTTGAGTCAGATATGCTTCATGGGCTACTAGCCTACCAAAACAGGCCACTTTTGTTGGGACTGTAGTCTTCCAGACCATCTTCCAAGGCCACTTTTGTGCTTGCACCGGCTGAGCAGCACTTAGTTTTGCAGAGTGAACTAACAGTAAAAGAACCTTCTTTACTAGCTTTCCAGAGTAGGCTTTCTTCTTTTTCTGGCCATAACACCACTGATTGCATCTAGTGAATAAATATATCAACCTCATGCATTTCTCTGTCAAAGAGATTCCTTCTGAACTGGAAGTCCCAACCTGTATCAGTAATTATATCAGCTAAGAGGATTTCTGGATTATTGGCCAATCTGTACAGTTTGGGAAATTGAATTTTGAGCAAACCAGAACCATCCCAATTATCTTCCCAAAGTCTGATCTTTTCCCATTGAGCACCCTCAAGCCAACGTACATGTTAAATTTCTCCCATAGGTTACAAATCTATCTCCAAACAGCTATTCCATATGGAGTCTTCACTGTTTTAGGTGCAAAGAAGCACCTAAAACATTAAAATCCTAAGCGGTCTAATAGCTTTACCATATGGAGTCTTCACCGTTTTCTACCACTGCTTTCCAGGGAGCTTTTTTCCCATCATTTAACCTCCATAGCCATTTGCATAGCAAGCGCTGATTGTGAGCTCTAAGATTTCTAATTCCCAGACCCCCTTCTTTCTTATGTTTTCACAATAAGCTAATAAGTGTGTAAAAATAAATACACGTTTGCTTCCGTTTTCTCACCAAAATAATGCTACCGTTGGTATGTGGGCAAGTACAAAGATTTAGGATTTACGGTCGAGTACAAAGCATATTCCGTGCTTTGTTTCCTCTTTCCTTAGAATCAAGCAAAAAAGGAGGGGGGATCTTTTGTGCTGAATAGAAGAAAAAAGTTATGATAACATGGATCATATGTGTTCTATGCCGTGTCCAATTCCTTTTAATTGAAAAATCAGTAGATGCAGAATTCTATCCTTTTGGCTTGTTTAGCTTGTGTATGGATTGGTGTTAGATTTTGAACGCCTCTAATTTTAACCTGGCTGGACTGTGTTTCTCTAATTTTCTTCTTTTGCCCATTTGCACATTTAGATATCCAATCCAGTATGCTTCTTTGCTAGTTGTAAGAAGTTTATAATTTTTTTTGAGTAAGACTAATGTTCGTTGGAGTAAGAGGAAGGTCATAGAAACACTGGCATTTTAGCTTTGTGAGTCTCGTCCAATTTTCCAACCGAACCTTTTATATAGCCTGTTTTCACCTTTATGCACTTGTGGGCTCAGTCCTTTATTTTACGTTGAGCTTGTAGCTTTCTATGTAGCAAATTAAACATCTTTCTTTATTAAGTGTGCGTATGCAAGTTATCTTTTATTATTATTATTGTTGTTGTTGGTGTTGCTATTGTTATTGTTGTTATCATCATCATTATTATTCTCATTTTTTGTTCTCCTTAAACCATAATATTCTTCTTTCTGGGTTGTTCTTGACAACTTCTTTCTATCTTCTGTTTTCAGGTAAATTACTCCTACCACTAGTATTTTGGAGATGTACAATGGTAAAATTTTTAAACTGAAACTGAGGTCTCGTTGGCTCCAATGTATTTGGTTCTTCATCAGTGCAACATGAGTGTATTCCACAAGCTATTCTGGGAATGGATGTTATTTGCCAAGCTAAATCTGGAATGGGGAAAACCGCTGTTTTTGTTCTTTCAACTCTGCAACAGATTGAACCTGTTGCTGGTCAGGTTGCTGCCCTGATTCTCTGTCACACTAGGGAATTAGCTTATCAGGCATGTATTCTATCTGCAAGTTTTCTGTTTTTCATTCATACGAGGTTAAATGATGTCTAATTTGCTAACCTGACAAAAAAAGATGTTTAATTTGCTAACTAACTACACTATCTGCAGATCTGTCATGAGTTTGAGAGGTTCAGCACATATCTGCCCGATATCAAGGTTGCTGTTTTCTACGGTGGTGTCAACATCAAACTCCACAAGGAGCTGCTGAAGAATGAGTGTCCGCATATTGTCGTTGGAACTCCTGGAAGAGTACTTGCATTGGCAAGAGACAAGGACCTGTCTTTGAGGAATGTGAGGCATTTTATACTAGATGAGTGTGACAAGATGCTTGAATCACTTGGTATGTCTTACCTAAGCTTTTTGTTACATAACTTTTGCTGCTAGAATTACTATCATCTTTACTCTTTGGTAATACTTTTCTTAAGTACATCTGTTGCATGCACAGACATGAGGAGAGACGTGCAGGAAATCTTCAAAATGACTCCTCATGACAAGCAAGTCATGATGTTTTCTGCAACTCTCAGCAAGGAGATTCGCCCGGTTTGCAAGAAATTCATGCAAGATGTAATGTCCTGTGGCCAGTTCTTGATTTTAGAAGTCTACCATTTTTCCATTATTTCAGCTTTCTGCAGGGGATAATAGTGTATTTTTTTGGTATAACCATTGTCTAAACTTAATTTTACTGGGGAAGTGAACAAAAATGAGGTGTCTTTGGAGCTGGTAGCTGTAAAAGCTGTGCTTTGCAGCTAATTTTTTCCATTAAGGTTGTAGTTCTATGTTTTCTTGGGTTTGTGTGTCATCTTTGTTCTTCCATGTTCTTGCCCCATAGTTAAAGATGTAAAGAGGGGTGGGAAAGATCTTTTGTGTGGAAATGGATGTCAGGAGGGTGGGGATGTTAGTGGAGAAGGGTTAATCTGGGAGGTTGATGCTTGGAGTCCTACTGGAAGCTTTTGGGTAAGCGCTGGGTAAAGGCACGTTGAGCATGGGGGACTAGTTGGGTGCTTTTACTCTTAAGCTGCAAGGAGAAAATTCACAGATGGAGGATCTTCATCCATCGTTCATTTCGTAATCAGATTCCCTTAGCTCACGAAGCTCCTAATATCCTTTACTATCACGTTTATTCCTTTCAGCCAATGGAAATTTATGTTGACGATGAGGCCAAGTTGACCCTGCATGGACTTGTACAGGTACATTATTGAAGCCTAATGTTTTGCTGTCATTTCATTACTTATCACAATCTTCCTGAAGTTGCTTCTATTTGATGGCAGCACTACATCAAATTGAGTGAAACTGAGAAAAACAGGAAGCTGAATGACCTGTTGGATGCTTTGGACTTCAACCAAGTTGTTATTTTTGTCAAGAGTGTGAGCAGAGCTGCAGAGTTGAATAAGTTACTTGTGGAGTGTAATTTTCCATCTATCTGCATCCACTCTGGCATGACTCAGGAAGAAAGGTCTGTCTGACTTCTGGTTCAACTTCTTTTGATGTTAATTACTTATGCACTCGAGGGTCGTTTGGTAGGGTATAGGAATAGTACTGAATAGGGTGTATTAGTAATGTTGGGATTAGTAATGCTAGGATTAGTAATGTTGGGATTACTTATGCTGAGATTATTTCTTATCGTTTATTTGGTTTGGTGTATTAAAAATAACATGCATTGCATTTTTTTTTTTAAATTTTTGTTTACAAAAAGACCCTTCATGTATTAACCTGCGTTGCAAATCTTCTTTGGAAAAGGTTTTAAAAGGACAGTTTTGTTACATGCTTATCCATGTATTAAAAACCATGGTATTGCAATGCCATGGTTTGCTATGTATAATAGTAGTACTGAATAAGGTTTATAACTAGGTTGAAAAACACTATCAAATAAGGATTAATAATGCCAAAGCCAATACATGTATTGTTTTCTCTGATACATCCTACCAAACGACCCCCCAGTGTTTACTCAATGTGAATAATGATTTTAATAATTATCTGTAACCATGAGAAGTCTAGTATCAATGAGATTATCAGTTCCTCGACAAGATTCCATTTCCCCCCTAGGATTGTGGTATCGGTTGTGTGGTATTGGTTGTGTTAGAAGAACAAGGTTCTGTAGCATTTTTCTTTAATGCTTTGCCCATCTTTTCAAATCTTCCTTTCTTCCCTTTGGAGTTATTTGCTTGTGCATACATTTCATCTGATTTCTTGAAGGCTACCGTGTTTGTGTATTAGAAGGGATTTGTGCTGCTGTTAACATCTTTTATTTGCATGTTATGTAAGCTAATTCTTCCCTTGTCTGCTTGATAGACTGACACGCTACAAGGGTTTCAAGGAAGGGCACAAGAGAATTCTTGTGGCGACTGATTTGGTTGGGAGAGGCATAGACATTGAAAGGGTGAACATTGTCATTAACTATGACATGCCAGATTCTGCAGATACTTACCTTCACAGAGTATGTCCTATCTGTCCTGGAACTCATTTTTTTCAAGTTCTGAATTCTGATCTTGTCCAAGTAGTCTTATTGTTTAATCTTGAATGATAATGATAGGTGGGAAGAGCTGGTAGATTTGGAACCAAAGGCCTTGCCATAACATTTGTGTCCTCTGCATCAGATTCTGATGTTCTCAATCAGGTTGAGAGTCAGATTTCCACTTTCTTTCTCTTTTTGGCTGTATTATGATTTGTAATGCCATCCGTAGTAACATCAGTTCCTTATGCTTACACCTACTGTAGGTTCAGGAGAGGTTTGAAGTGGATATTAAAGAACTTCCTGAGCAGATTGACACTTCTACATACAGTATGTCCTTGATGTTTACTTCTGAAGTTTTGTTGGCTTTTTTCGATGTTTTCTTTTGTCTTCTTGTTGCGAATCTGATTGTGAACATACCTGCAATGGCAATGAGAAAAGAAACTTCTTGGGATAATTCCCGAGGCTTTGGTTCAACGAAAAAGCTAGTACGTTGCAGGACATGTGATTGGTACACGTCACAAGTTTGAATGCTTTGGTATTTTAGTGGAGAGTGTAGAGGTGTGGGCCATATCCATTTCGAGATTTGAATAGCGAATTGCTCGTTCATAAAAAAAGAAAATTTTCAAGTATATTTCGTACTCCATATCCTGGAAACCCTCGGTGCCTATTAGGATTTGCATGACTTCTGTAGGAGTATGTTTCCTGAAGTGGTTCGTGATATGGTACAGTAATGGTACAAAAATAGAATCCTAAGATGCAAAAATAGAATCATAATTCATCTTAAAATTCTATTGCTTTTGAGATATTCTTGGCATTATGTGGTTTATTTATTTGATCAATTTTTTCCGGGAGCTCACACTAGCATATCTTGTGTATACAGTGCCATCTTAGTGGGTTGAAGCCTTCCTAGCAAATGTTGAAGATTTGCTAGAAGATTGGGAGTGGCGGTGAAGTTTCTGCTTTATGCAATATGGTTGAATATTGAACCAGTTAATTTGAAGAATTGTGGGGAGACTTCCCCTCTGCTTTGGCACTTCTGGATTTCCTGTACCCTTATCGAACCTATGCTGTTCCTACATTAGCATGGAAATGTCTTAACATTATGATACCTAGTATTGTAGCTAGTACCCAAATGGATTATTCTGCTTTAGTTGTTTCTTCGTACTGCTGCTAGCTAATGTTATTGTGGCTAGACTCTGTTCAAAGTTTCTCGAGTTATCTTCCTCTGAAATCGTGCCTCTGCAAAATGGTGTGGCAGCTTGGTGAAGGTTTAGTATCATCTGCAGTTGCAGAAATTCATTGGGGATATCAATTTGGAATTTTTGGTTTAGTATTAACCACATGAACTTTGGTGAATTTTTGTTAGTACCATAATCGACCTTATGGAGGAAAGCTCAAGACAGGTTGAGCATTATATATGTTCTGGGGTTCTGCTAAGTCTACCTGTTATCATATTCTGGCTTAGCTTGAAGTTGTGTTGGGAGTTATTTATCTTGACAACTAATGTTTTAGTGTCCTTGTAATTAGCTATCTTTGTAGACTTGGTAGTTGTGAGTTTGGTTAAATCGACTTAAAATCTATGCTCTTTATGCTAGTTTTCTATTTCTTTAAGAATTCATGTTCAAAATGCTGTCTAACTGTTCATGTCAATTAGTTTATTGCATAAACGATGTTGCCTTGTTCCTTTGGTTAAGTTCTTTTGGCATTGTTTGATGTCTTTTCATTTTTAAACAAGTTAAATGCAAACCGACATTGTTTTGACTGTAAGTCGAGTGATGGTAATTCCAATATCAAAAGGTCGTTATGTTTTAGTTATTGCTGTTTTAACTTTTCACCAGATCAATTAGAATTAAATGAAAAGCTATCCACAATAAATGACGCACATTCAGAATCACCAGGCCGTGTAGTTCGATGGTGCCTGTTTGACCAAATCACTTGACGTAGCAAATTTTGTCCAAAGGCCAGGTAAAGCTCTGGAAAAAGAGAACTTGTTTCGTCCGTGCATTCCACGAGACACAGCCTCTGATCACGAGTTTGTTATGGAACGTATGGTCCAGATGCAGATAATCCATGAAGAAGAAGCCCGATCGAAGCAAAAAAGCCCGGCCCAAGGCCTACAGCCCATTCCCCTCATCCCTAAGGCTGCCAATGCTTAATTTTCGGTCTTCTAATCGGGAGCTGAAAATTGCCAATGTTCCGTGAAACCTAGAGCATTGTCAATGTAGTTGATGGGTTTATGTTTGAATTTGATTCTGTTGAGTGATAAAGATGGTGGACTCTTTGTACCTCTACCTGATTGCAAATAATGTTTTCTCATCAACATATTTTATGCTATTCGGAGGCTAGTTTGGCGTTCTGCTAAATGTTTTGTCTGGTTTCCTCATAATATATGTAAAATACATATCAGGATTTAGATGCAACTGGTAAAGAATGAATGGGTATTGAATCTTACCCTTTTTGTTTTTGGTTTAAAAGTAGCGAGTTCATTAAGGGTATTTTCGGAATTTCACAAATAGTTACTGTTTATTGCCGTTGGGATGGTAGACAATGTTTGTTTCCGGAAGTGTATTACACGCAATGGGAGGACTAGGTCGGACATTTACTTTATAGTCACTTGAAGTAGTGGCGGATCTAGGATTTTTAAGTCGTGGGTGCTCACTGATAAAAATTCTGAAAAAAGAGGAAAATAGAGTTTAGTTAGGGTGCTCACCCAATATTTATCTAAATATTTTTATAATTAGCTATACAAATTTACTAAATCTTGTCAAAGATAATGGGTGCTTGAGCACCCAAAATCAGCATGTGGATCCGCCACTGACTTGAAGTGCCTACGTGATAATAGGCTCATACAACAACAACAACACAGTATAATCCCACTTAGTGGGGTTTGGGGAGGGTAGTGTGTACGCAGACACGCAGACCTTACCCCTACTCTGGGGTAGAGAGGCTGTTTCCAAATAGACCCTCGGCGTCATTCCCTCCAAGAACTTCCCACCTTGCTCTTGGGGAGACTCGAACTCACAACCTCTTGGTTGGAAGTGAAGGTTGCTTACCATCAGAGCAACCCCTCTTGTCGATAATAGGCTCATAGAACTTATAAAATGCCTTTAAATCTGTTTGCACATATTTAAAATAATATAAATATAAATTTTTAATTTTACTCTTCATAACATAATATTTTAGCCACATAAATATTATACCATAAGATCATAAATTCTAAAATCCATTTTTTTTTCTTTTAACTCCGCGCCTAATAAAACACATTAACATAAAATGGGTAAGAGTGAATACTATTTTTGTGAGATATATCACATGACACATGACACTGTTTTCCTTTCTAATTTCTATACGGGGCTCACAGTCAATCTCAACCCAACAATTAGGCCAGCAGCAGCGTCGATCACGGAGCTAAGTTTGGTAAAGAGGGTTTAATCGAATCACCCTTTGTAAATGAATTGCATTGTATAAAAATAGTAAATTCAACTTTTATATATATATAAACTATTGAATTTTCTTGACATAGGTTTATATTTTTTATGTGACATTTTCTTGTTTTGAATCCCCTTACTCAAATTCCTAGCTACGCAGCGCTAAAATAGTTTCAGTTCTTTGTTCTTTCCCTTTCAAGTCTTCTTCAAATGATACCTACTTTGGTCCCGCCATAGTACTATTGTCAACATTTTCAGTTGGTTAACCTCATTATTCCTAACTCAATTATCTGCTTTTTCACAATACTACCACTATATATTCACAAGCTGACTCTTCAGTTGGAGTTGAGGTATAGTTTGTAAGCCGTCCGTGGGATCGTTTACTCGTAGCAAGAGTGCTATTTACCGGTTCTTCGGGGAAATATATATTGGTCTAGCAAAAGCAATTCGAGGATTTCAATTGATCCTTGAGGTGGTGGGAGTACAATTCTTCATTTCAAGTTCCGTCACTAGTGCCTTGTATGGTTTGTTGGCGTACTCCGGTATGCCAATTTTGTTTTGGGCTTCTTACGCTTTTAGCTTGCGTCAAAAACTATTTATATTTGGTAGCCGAAAAATTGTGTATACATTTTTTATTCTATTATTTTGATAGTGGCTATACAGTGTCATTTTCCATTTTATTTCCCCCTTTAGTGCCAAAAACTGTATTAGCCCGTTAGCTCTGTTAAAATTGGATTAGAAGTGCACATTTTCTTTAATTCAAGGTTAGATATGCTTAACAAGGAATAAAACTAGAATATAGAAATAGTTGAGGGACCAAAATTGCTATTTTTCCTAAATATCATTTAATGAAACATTGGTCCAAAATTGGGTGAAAATCATTTTGATCCCCCAAAGTTTGCCTTAAACATCAAACTCCTCCTCCAATATTAAACAATAGTCATTCTACTCCTATTATCATATGCATTGTCTATTTTACCCTTGATATTTTCAATTCCTCCTCTATGCATATAATTTTTTTTATATTTAAATTGGTAAACACTTATATAAATACCTTATTCTGAATTTTATTATTAAAGTTCAATAAATTTAACTAGAATAGTGTGTGTGTATATATATATATACACACACACACACAAATTTATTTTAAATTATAATTTAAAGAACATCCAAAGTATAAATATGTAATCTTTTAGGATTTTATTATAAAATTTAACCCTATTTTTAATTATTATTTTTTATATTACTGCGCTAACTTTTATTTGAGTGATATAAATAAGATATTTTATTCTATTATTTTAATTGTTCTTATATCTTTTATTATTCAATTTTAATATATTATATATGATTGATTATCGTATTTCATTTTTTTTAAATTTTAAAAAAGAATTATTTTCACTAGGTCAATTCATAAAATGATTAAGAAAATTATCATCATATTAAAAAGTAAAAAAAAAAATATAGACCAAGGTTGATAAGATTGAGGATAAAATAGGTATTTAAGAAATACAATTAAGTTTGGAGCAGCAGAATGTCTATTGTTTAATGTTGGAGGAGGAGTTTGATTTTTAAGATGAAGTTAGAGGATCAAAATGAATTTTACTTACCCAAAATGACTTGATTTTGAAGAGAGATTTGTTAGTGTCAGTTGGAGGAGAGCAATATATTAGTATTAATGAGGCTTTAGAAGAATTAATTCCTAACTCATCTATAGTGAGTAAGTCATATTTAAAGAGGATTTCAATGAATCTTTTAGTAGATTTCTGAAATTCTTTTCCCTTAATAAATGCAATGCTCATAAGCGTATAAATCCGCCCCCTCCAAACAAAAACGACATTAGAAAAAAACACGAGTTTGTTCACTATTCTTCATTCGATTTAACTTGAATGGTGAGCTCAGTGTTTTAATTTATTCATTTTGAGTTAGGATTTTGTCTTTTGGTTACGGGGACTTGACGGGCAGTTTATGAGTTTGAGCCATGGAATCAGCCGCTAATACTTGTATTGTGATAATTGATAGGCTGTCTGCATCACACCCATTTGGGGTGCGGTCCTTCCTCGAATCCTGTGTGAACGCATGATACCTTGTATGCCGGGCTACCCTGTATAGCTATTAGGACTTTTATCGATAATCATGATAATTCATTTTTTTTCATTTCTTTTGTGCCACATTTTTGCAGGATCGAGCTTTCATCTTTTTGATCTGTATTACTCCATTTATTCTTGATAGAAGTCTTGCTGCTGTTTTTGATATAACAAGTTATGGCGCTGTTGGAGATGGAAAGCACGACGACACTCAAGTAACACAAATAATTTTAAATATTCAACTAACTTATTTTTCACTTGTTATTTTTATTCTATGCTTGTTTGAGACTGAGCCGTAATACACGTATTTCAATTGCTTAAACACCTTGAAACCAAGACGCGTGTGCTCAGAGCATGTATCATCTAAATTTGGACATATATATTATGACATTTTTCAGAAGATCTTTTTTAAATTATAAAGAATAAAAGCAATCTTTTATTTTGATTAAAGCCCCCCTTTTCAAGGAAAGGAGAATAAAAATTGCTCTTTTTCCCGTTAATTCAGTTGTTTAAGAGATTTCAGATATTTTTTTAATCAATTTTTATAGGCATTCAAACAAGCTTGGGCAGCTGCGTGTAGGGGTGACAGTAGAAATCCGTCAATGTTTATACCAAGTGGGAAGTCATTTTTAATACGACCAATTACATTCCAAGGACCTTGCAAATCCTCCAATATTCATCTACAAGTAAGTTTGCTTCATTTTCTCTTCCCTTATATATATATATATATATATATATATATATATGTGAAGTTCCTTTAATAAGAACGAAGTATTACTTAAAATGGAATAAACGCAAGGTTTCGCTTCGTAACACTAACTTTCCTTGTGATTTATTGTATTACGTTTTTCTCTCTTAATTTGATTTTTGTATCAACTTTTTAACTTATTTGTTTTTAATATAAAAAATTACAAGTTGACTAATTGACCCTTTTTCAATAAACTTTTGTTTAATTAAACGATATCATGTATATATATACTAACAGAGGAAACATATGCATATGGAATTAATCCATATGTTTGAGGACGTGATGCGACATTGAGATTACAAAGAAACTTTACAAACACAATAATTAGACAAAATCATGCGA